ATCACTTCAAATTGTCATGTTTTAAATTTATTCGCATATTAAAACAAAAAAAATTAGTAAATATTTATTAATAATTCTCAACCACATTTATTCGATATCTTTACATTAAAGTATAAATAAGAAGTAATTTTTCATCAGAATCAAAAAGTTTCAACAATCAGCAAACCTCAACATTCAATAAAATGAATTGTAAGTATATTTTACATATATAAAAATTAAATATTTGTGATCGGTATGTATCATATTTGTAATTAGAAAATTAATTTAATTAAAACCACTACTACTACTACAAGCTATAAATATTCGCATTATTATATTAATTGTTAAGAGTTAATTACCTTATGAATGTGCACAATCCGGAACTGTATTCTGATGTAAGAAATGTACAGTTTCATGTCTGGTACAATATCGATCTTGTGATGCTGCTTATCCCATCAATAATCAATACTGTGTTATATAACATGGTATTAACTTCATTGAGAAGAAACAATTATAGTGAATTGTTTTTCATATACGTGTCTTCTATAAATTGCTCACAATTAAAATCATATATATTTCAATAAATAAAATATTATAAAGCCGAGGAATATTAATACGCACGTGCTCTGTCAAATAGAAATTACGCGCGCTCGGTCAATTATCCACCAAATTAAAAAATTAATTAATAAAAATTTAGCGTCAAAAAACGGGTATTTTTACTTTAATCCAGTTTTACGATATGTTTGTAGTCAAATTTAATCAAAAAGCTTTAATTTTGTTATAATTTTGTTGATGATTTTAATTTTTTAATATTAGAAGGTAATTAGCATAAATTACAAAGTGTCGTGTTTCATCTTCGCTCCCGTTCAAGTTTATAGTCCTATATACGCGCCTATGTTTGTTTTTACTTCTACTGGTGTTTCCGCTTTTATTTCACCCTCGTCCGTTGTGGTTACAGACGATGGGGAGACGGGCGTCACGTGATCGCTTACCTCACTTTTTACCACAGAAATTACCGTGCGTTGAAAATTTTATTTTTTTTTTTCGATTTTAGTTTTTATTAGCTAACTTTTTTTGTAGATTCTCATATATATGTCTTTTCTGAAGTTGCAGATATTTTTTTTATTAATTTGCACGAATTTTTGTTTTTTTATTCGCATTTTATATATAAATTAAAAGAAAATTCAAAAATTAATTAAATGTTATCAGAAATGCTAAACTATAAGTGCGATGTGTGTTAGAGTACAATTCCGAATAGATATAGTCAATTATTTTGTACACATATTTGTTATTTTAATTTTTATAAATTATTTAATTTCATGCAACGCGACGCGCTCAAAATCGATTAATTACAGTCGCGCGTTATTTAAGATGGCGGCGAAACCCGATTCATTTACTTTTTCATTTCAGATGTTAATTAGAGAGTGCTATTTTAATGTAATTTTAGTCATAGTGTATGTTTATTATAATTAATAAATTTATACAAAAATAATATATATTACTGACTGTAGTTCAATGCTTACTTGGCGCAATGTAACGGTAAAATATACAAAGCAAATTAATGCAATTTTTTTATTTTTACTAATATACTGTAAATGCTTGACTACGATTAAATTCTCGATTTATACGTTTCCTCTACTACCTAACAGTATAAAATACTTGATGTAAAAATATAGAATTTTTATTTAAATAATAAAAATTCTATTTTTTTTAATTTAAATTTATTACAATAAAAACATTAATATTTTTTAAAATTTGATTTGTAAATGCAAAAAGTAAACTCTTAAAATATCAATTTACTATAAATAATTTCAACTTTCGTTTATTGACATCAGGGGCCTTATTCTGGTTTCTCACAAGCCGGTCGCTGATTGGCTAAGCTAAATGATTAGCCAATCAGTGACCGGCTTGTGAGAGACGAGACCGAAGATAGTGACCAGAATATAGCCCCAGATTTGTTAAATTTCACGAAATTGTGTTATTTTTCAACTCTATTATTTATTCTCTGGTAAATAAGAGACTCTAATAATTCTTACTAGAGTCTATTATATAGACTTTTTAGTCCTCCATTGTGAAAAACTATTGTTTTCAAAACCTTCCTTCTCTGTCAGCTGAGGGTCAAATGGCTAACAGATTGTTTACTTCCACTCAGGAAAATGTGATGGTGTCATAAAACTTTATAAAATGATTAAAAATACCAATGAAAGAAATTAAATTATTTTCAGTTAAATACCAGTTTTTTAGAAGTTATTCGCTTTATAATAACGCGATTATAAGCGAAGAAGCGCGCGCCGTAGCTGCAGCAATTTTTAGTAACAGCGACTGGCGGGAAATTTGAAAATTGAAATCCGAGATCACGCGCGCCATAGTGCCGATTCGGCACAAATAATTTAATAAAAATAATGAGACGCTTTAAGCAAAAACTGAATTGCGCATCATAAAATTGAAAAAAAAATTAGAGAGGTAATAATTTTTTCAGATTTTTCACACAATTAGAATTTTTACACGAATTATTTAAAAATCGATTGGTTCCTAATCGGCACTAGGCGCGTGCCGACGGGTTAATTAATAAAACGGAACAATATAGAACAATGAATCTAATTAGAAACACAAAACACGAACTTTACTCGATAAAAGTAAATAAGGTAGCGTTATCCCCACATGATGATAAGAGACATATATTAGAAGATGGTATTCATACAATTGCATTAGGTCATAAATTTTTTCTTATATAAATGGACTCAAGAATAAAGAGAGCTATTGATTGGGATAATTTTTCAGAACGAGAGAATTTAACAGATGATCTAATAAGAGAATTGAAAGATGAAGTTAACTGGGATTTGATTTCAATATTTCAAAAGTTATCAGAACCTTTCATAAAAGAATTTAAAGATAAAGTTAATTAGGATTCAATACGTCATTCACAAAAATTGTCTGAAATGTTTATTAATGAATTTAAAGATAGAGTGTACTAGAAAAAAATATCAGAACACCAAAGTCTCTCTGAAAATTTTATAATACATATGATAATAAGGTAAATTGGAAACTCATCGCTAAACATCAAACATTATGTTCGGAATTTATTCTAGAATATTGAGATAAAGTGGATTGTAATGCTGTATTTCGATTTCAAAATTCAGATAATGACTTTATTAGGATAAATGCTATGAAATGAAATTTAAATTCACTTATAAAATATCAAACCATATCGGAACAATTACTCGAAGTCTTAGATCCATTAAATGTATTAGACTGAAAAATAGTTGTTAAATATCAAGAATTATCTGAAGATTTTATTATTGTATGTAAGTTTGTATGCAGCAGGTAATCTCCGAAACTACTCATCCGATTTCAAAAATTCTTTCACCAATATTTAGAATGGAACTTCAGGGTGGTATATATTATTTTATTAAACATTGATATAATTTAAAAGATATAATCTAGGTTAAGGCTTTTATGTCCAACAGATGGCGCTACGAGTACGACACCCTAAGTTAGCTTTTCTGTGAGGCATTATGCTTTCCAGTGAAAATTAACTAAAGCAGATCATCTTCTATCTATTTATATAAATAAAAATGTAATGTTCGTTTGTTCCTGCCAATTCCTTTGAAATTTTGACACAACGCTGCATTCGAATACGCACGTGTTTTTATATAATATACGTGTCGAAATTCCCCCCACTGAAGGGAGATGGTTAGGATTAAGGTTTAACGTAAAGAACTCTGCTTCTATTTATACTATTTTAGATGCGGATTTTTGCGTTTTTTAATTGCGTTTTAATAGGGTATGTCAACAGAATGTATACTAAGAAGAAATTTTTCGAAAAATTCCCACCCTCCCACGGGGGAAGTGTTATAAATTTATAATAGATACATTTTGAGCCACAACAACGCGTGGCGGGGTCTGCTAGTAAAACATAAAGATAAAATTGATTGGTGTGATGCTTAAAGGAAAGCTCTTCCAACGAATTTATTGAAAATAATTATAAAAATATAGTTGTTTCGTTGTTACCTAGAATTTGAATAAACTGAACGCTATCGGTAAACTTCAAAGTACAGTAGAGCGTCGTTTATCCGAAAGTCGGTTATCCGAAAAAATTCCAGTAGGCAAATTTAAATTTTTGCTAGTGGTGTGGCGCTGCAATCTTTGGCTATATCTTGAGCTACTCCAATATTTTTTTTGTTGATGTGTGTGTTTTAGTTACCAACTCTGGTATCATGCTGAATCGAACGTTTTTGATACTAGATTAGCTTCTAAAGTATCATTTTTTTGTTTTAATATTTTTCAATATATTTATATTTGTTTGTAAAAAATAAAGAAATAATTTATAACGATGCAATAGTAACGATTATTATTTTAAAAAGTATACGTTAGGGTAAACATCGACTAAAATTCAACGCAAAACGACACGCAACGGAGAAAAATTTCAGCACGGAGATAGGTTAACATATTTTTTCGTACATAATCGGTTATCCGAAAATTAAGTTATCCGAACAACCTTAGTCCCCAATTAATTCCGGATAAACGACGCTCTATTGTACTCCAGCAAAAAGAATGAACGAGTTAGAAATTGTGAATATCCAATTCATAAAGTCAAATCGATATCAACCCATTACGGTGAAAAAACAATAGTAGTGATAGAAGATTTTCAGGTTTTCCTGCCAGAACAATTTAATAAAAAGACTGAAGAATTTGACTGAAGAAGATATTAATTTAAAGAACTAAACACACGAAAAGATTTCAGACTTTTGAGTATAAAGGTAGGAATGAATGAGGCAACACAAATAAAGAATACATTGTAGAGTTTATTCAAAAGTGAAAATTATTTTATTTTAATTCATTCAAGAAAGATTTATTTTACTTAAACTCATTTATAGAAGTAAACGGCATTTTAGGGAGTTTGAAATTTGTGTGTTTTTTTAAATTAAAATATAAGTAATTTTTAGTTCTTTTATCACTTTTTATTAATTTTTAGATTTTCATATTTATAGTGGAGCAGATCTTCCTACTACAGTACTTACACAATATTGGGTAGTTCGGCCGAACCAGATACCAAAGCTGACATGTGCTCAAAAGTGATAAGTATACATTACTACATTGAAAAGAAGTAGTCTAAAAAACAATCACTCAATCAAAACTATTGTTATAGCTCGTAGGTTTGGTGTATTTTTTCAGTTATGTGCTAAATAATTTTTCTTAGGAATGAAAATCTCTTGTGATTTGGTAATTGGCAGACATTACAGTTTCAAAACATTCTTCAAAAGTGAAGTGTTTACCTGTAATTAGTAAATTTCCATTTGGATCGACTTCATGTTTCTTTCCATTAGCTTTTAGCATAATGTATCAATAAATATTGATTGGGCAAACATGACGTGTACAGAGGTAGAATTATCTCCATTCTAAGATGCTACGAATAATTAATTGTTTTATGTGTGTGATAACCTTTTTAACTGAATAATATACTACGTTATGCGTAAAAAGTATATTTGTAATATATACAGAGAAAGCGATTAATGATTCAAAAATGCCAGTTTAAGTGGCACGATGTAGAGATGTAAATCTATGCGTGAATCGACAGCTGCTCGCGTGCAGAAGAATGTGCCCGCATGTTTATTTTCAGATTACAGGGAGAGATATCTAAATACTTATCTATTATTAAATTTGTTTTAATTGGATGTATATATTACTTACATTAATGTTATCCATAAAGACATTAATATATTTACTCTTAGACCATATACACGAGTCATCTACATATTAGACGGATTTTGCTCCTCAGATACCTGAGAAATTCGGTAACACCCCTGTCACAACAGTAAATTTTTCGTTGAAAGAATGTCTTCGAAGATAATGTTACTTTCTTCAGTTGTGTGCAGATAGTGTTTTGAGAATTGCCACAGACTTATACAATAAAGATGTGGAATGTTAAAAGCAAGAATGTGTCAATATGATGTCTCATGAAACGTTTATACTTGTAACTACATACCGAAGTTTTACGGAGTAAGTAATTTATTTTCGTTGGTAACTTTTCGCGTTTTCTTGTAAATTCTTATAAATACATTACAGAACATATATTTTATTGCTAATAAATTAATAATTGAAAGTATTTTTTTAATTTCGAATTTATGATAATTCTGTCTACTGTTGTATACTCTATATAAGAGTTTAAATAAACTATTTTTATATAAAGTAATGATAGTAGGCTGTATTGTAACAATATACAATCTACTGAAAATTATATTGTCCATTGTATAGAACATCTGATACTAATTGGGCTAAAATTTGAAAAACTATAGACCTATAAATTCCCACTGTCGTTTGTTGCTGTCCGTCTTTCCTTAATTTCGTGAAGACAGTTAAACAGACATTCAAAAGCGTAGAAGTTAATATGAAACTATATAGATATATTCAGAATAGTACTGGAAAGGATACACAGTAGTTTGTAAATTACGACTATGTGTCTGTGTAAAAATTGTTGAATTCTTCTCAAGCAATAAAATGCGAAATTTAGTATAAAATTGTTTTTAGTCAGATTTATTATAACCTACATATTTCTATGCTAAAAGAGTTTATTTATTCATAGGCTTTACAAAAGATACAGGTACTTGTCGAAATAAATGAGGTCATAAATTAATTTAGTTCTAAATGAATTATTTATTGAGGGATCACACGATGTCTTATTATAGTATTTATCGATTAACATTTTGCAAATATTTTTGTGATAAATTATATCGGTTGGCAATTTCTGCTGTTTACTTTAAAAATGGAATGCGGATAAATATGTGGAATGTTTTAATGATAGTAAAAATAGAGGAAATCATAAAAGTAGACATTATATTCACTTACCTGTACACGATAAATGCGAATGACAGTAAAATGTATTAAAAACATACAAAATTTATAAACATTCACACATTTTCAGTTCTTGTTCTATGTCAGCGTTTCTCAAAGTGGGCGATAACGCCCCCTTGTGGGCGCTGGAGGCTTTCAGGGGGCAGTATAAGGCTCAAAGAGAATTGGGGGACGTTAAGGAAATATAGAGGGGCGACGGCAGACAAATTTTATATATAAAAATTCGACGGAATATATATAAAATGTTAACATTTTATATATTTTTTATTTTTTATTGAAGGTCACAACTTGAATATTTCTAACACATTGATTTTATTTTAGCTCAGCGTTTCTCAAAGTAAGCAATAACGCCCCCTTCTGGCGCGATGAATAGATCTTTGATAGAGGCAGGGTATTGAACGGTGACCAAAGGCAAAATTGGGGCTGATAAGAGGAAACGTTGCGTTTAATGGTTTCCAGATGATGAGAACAATGTACAGTAAGGGCACAAAGTGTGAGATTCATAGAAAAGTTTTCCTAAGAATATTTCCAATCCTTTTCTCACACAAGAGAAAATGGGTTAGGAGCGTTGGGTATAACTTTATGGAACAAAGGGGGCGGTGGATCGAAAAAGTTTGAGAATCACTGTTCTATGTCATGTTTCTTTTCACACTGTAATGTTAAGAATCCAGTCATTGGTGTATTACAGTTTCCTCACATTTTTACTTTCTTTCTATAAATACTGAAACATTTTTGTAAGTACAATACTGTATTATAATTTATTATTAGTATAATAAACTAGCATAAACTACTTTATTAATGACAGGTGTTTTATTTGTAAAATAAATAGAAATACACAGTTTTTACATATTTTTTACATTTTATCTTTCCATTTAGTGTGAAGTTACAATGGTTTTTGTATAAACTGTCGAATACGTGTGATATAAATACAGTTTTATAGTAGAGTAAAAGGCTTGAAATAAGACAAGAAAAAAATACAATTATTTTTTTTTCAATTTCTAGGAAGAGTAAGACTCTTGCTCATATTCACAGTAAATGTTTCAATTCTGTAAAACTTGGTAAATTGGTAATGTGACTACTAAAAAAAATTTTGTCAAAGTTATGACCACTTAAACAGTCAATCACACTAGCAGGTGTCACTTCATATAGATCAGTGTTTCTCAACGGGGGCGATATCGCCCCCATGTGGGCGTTTTTTCATGTTCAGGGGGCGATAAGCAACAGGGAGGCGAAAAACAATTTTCTGAACAATATAGTAAAACATTATATTAAGAATAATTAGATATTTTATTCGTTATATCGTACAATAATTAAACAAATAACATTATACTAGTCACTAGTCTATTCAATGCAGTACGAATTTGGCGTTAGCCTTGTCCCTTGGCATCGGAATTTTGTAGTGAAGGGGGCGATACTACGTTGAAGGGGGCGACGATTCGTTAGAGGTTGAGAAACACTGATATAGATTATACAGTAGAGCGTCGATTATCCGAAAGTCAATCATTCGAAAGAATTCCAGTTGGCAAATTTAAATTTTCGGCAGTGCTGTGGCGCTGCAATCTTTGGCTATGTTTTGGGCTACTCAAATATTTTACGTTTTTGATACTAAATTAACTTCGGAAGTATAATTTTTTATTGTTTTTATATTTTTCAATATATTTATTTTGTTCGTACAAAAAAAAAAAAAAATTTTAACGATACAATAGTCTTCGTTAGGCTTAACATTGACGAAAATTCAACGCAAAGTGACACGCAACGGAGAAAAATGTCAAGATGGGATAAATTAATATATTTTTTTCGTATATGATCGGTTATCCGAAACATCGATCTCCCGAACAACCCCAGCACCAATTGATTCGGATAATCGACGCTCCACTATATATTGATTTAATTTTTTTGAGTAATGTTCTCTTTCTTTGCAGGTTTGCTTTTATGTAGTTTTCCATTGAAAAATTTACTCTCATGAAGTTCCTCATGAAGAACAGCTGAAATAAAAACCGCCATGTATTCAGAAACGAAAAAATAACTCGTAAAATTAACACAAATAATGTTAAGTTTTCATATCAGAAAAACAATCACATGAATTAAAACTCATTACTTCTGTTTCTTCAGTTCTTTCATTACCACTTTTACAATAAATATTTCCAACATAGATAATGGGAAACTTCATTTCAAAATTCATCAATGGCTTTCGAAAAATACAGATTCTCTGTAAGAAAAACAACGAAAATAGCACTTTGACGCAATCTGATCGTTGTTTGTCTTACAACCTTCAAGCTGTATTATCTGTTTTTAAAGTTTTTGGCATCGAACCCTTCGAAAAATGTAGCTGTTTCGAAGAAGAAAATCATGGAAAGCTACACAATAAAAAACACGTATTCTATGACTTTTACGTGAAAATGATTGAACTGTTCTTATGGTTTTCATCGTTTTATCGATTTATGTTAACATTTAGCGAACGTTCATTCTGTCACAGTTCTGTACATGTATTTGGAAAGTATTCCAAAGAAATTGGCGTCGTAATTATAATTCTAAATATCTATATCGCTGTTCAATTTTCAGTATTGAAAAGAAACAAAATTTCTTTTCATTTCATGAAAAGCACGTACAAAGATGAAAAATATTTGCTATTGCAAATGAAATTGCCTGTGATAAGATACTGGTCAATCGTATTTCTCTTCGTTTTGATTGTATCGAACTCGGTGGCAATGGTCGAGTTTTCAACAATCAAAAGATACAGTGGAAGTGAATTAGAAGCAACATTCTGCTGCATTTACTTCTGGTTTCTGCATCTGCAATTAATAGTACAGATATGTTCACTTCTTCTTATGTTTTCACTTTGGGGAATAATTCTCGTGAAGAGACTTATAAAGTTATGTGAAGAATTACAACAAATAAACACAATTTCTTTATTACTGAAAAAAGAATTACAAGAAATCTGCGAAAAGCACACAGAAATTTGGGAGATGTTTGAAATGATCAACAAGCAATGGGAAGATCTTCACGCTTTCATATATGCTCATTTTGCATACGAAACATGTTTTTTGTTGTTTGCCACGATGTTTTTTGACATGGATGTTGCAATTCGAGCATTTTACGGCTGCCTTTCGATGATGTTCCTAACAGGATGTTTTCTAGTATCATGGGGCCTTTCTTACTTGACATCTCTGGTAATTATTATGTTTAATTTTTTATAATACTAATTATCTATGTAGAGAATATAGGGTTTCTCATTTCCCGGTCTTTTGCTTGTCCCCAGATCCAGGGATAAAAGTGAACTGTTTCCCGGGATCCCGGGAAATCCCGGGATAGAATTAATTATTTTTAAGGTATACAAAATATCTTGAAATCAAATGATATAATTATTTTCCATTTTTAAAAGTAATTTTAAAGTTCTGTAACCTCCAAAATCATATTAATAATGCTGTGTAAGGTCTATAGGCCTATAATAAAAATTACCTTTAAATAACGTAGAAATTTTCACAAATAGAAAAAAATTAATTAAAGTTTGCTGGAAACTGCATACAACAACAACAAAAAAAAAGTTTTGAATTGAGTTAAAAATTAAAAAAAATGAACTTCTAATTTAGAAGGTAATTTTCGTTTTTTAAATAAAATATAATACAAAATATTGCAAACTTTTATAAGATTTTAAAAAGCAAAGATGGTCAATACTCCGATAACTCACTCTAATTCTTATTTTAGTAATGAAAAGTCTTGCCACCGAGAATGCCCTTTCCGATTCAATTGATGTGATTGGAATAGTGTTTAATGCATTTAAGAGAAGACAGATATTATGTGTTTTTTCACCTGTAGCCTGGAAGATTTCGAGTTCGTTTTCGAGATTGTAGTACTTCTTTCGCTCTCTAGTATTCTTGATTTGTCTACCTTGGCTGCTTTAATAGCGGCATCAAGCTTAGAGCTCGATAATTCGGCAATTCATTTGGCTTTAATAATCAGGTTTATGAAGAAAAACTTCATACTTGCAGACTTTGTACTCGTTTGTATCCTTGCCCAATTTGCACAATCTGGCGTCAGGCATTTATTGAAGCTACTGGGCATGGTTAAAACTCAAGACAGCGTAAGCACAATTATTCCAGATATTACAGGTTCCGACAAGTAAAGAATTTTTATAATCCTGCCATAAATAAGCTATATGTTGATTATCGACCATTTGTGACATGCTATAACGAGAAAAAATTTTAAAAAACTAATAGGTAGGTTTAAAATTAATAAATACAAATGTATTCTGACAGTGAATGAGTTAATTATGCTTTCTATTTGCAAAATTCCTCAACCTTAACACAAAATAAGAAAAAAAGTGAATTTTTAAGAAATTTGCGGGATTTCCCGGGATAAGAAACATTTCCAGGGATATTTCCCGGGTTAAAAAACAACCGGGATCCCGGAATCCCGTTTGAGAAACCCTAAGAGAATATTACGAAACTTTTGTATGATGCAAGTGTTTCGATAGACATTTCGCTATTACAGATCTCTATTTTATGGCGATCTACAAATGACTTCTTCGATCACTGTTCTTATACATTAAATTCAAAAAAGTTTAGGTTTAGTTGTATGTTGCAATGTCAGAGGTAGGAGACCAGTTTATAACTGTCTCCCCGGAAGAACATTTTATGGAATACTGACTTGCATTTATCATGACCAACAAGTGTTCAGTGCTTATATCTAATTCGCATTCAATGAGCTGTAAAGAAAAAACAACATGATTTAAATTATGATCTATAATAAATGTAAACATAATACAATTTCACGGCCTTTAATACGTTAAAAATTATCTTAAGATTAGTACTTCTTGACATTGCCTGAAGTTTGCTAATTGCAGAAACTCACCACAAAGTATGGTAAGTCTATGCAATTAGCGAACTTTTGGCTAGATCAGAAAGCATTAATTAAAGATATTATTCAGAATTGCCGGCTGGAATTGTGACAATATCACAATATGTTTTGCTCGTTATTACTGAAAATCTTCCAGAATATTTCTTACAGTTGTACATTCCATGGTATTATCATCAGCAGACGAAATATATCTAAAGCTGCCAAAATAAAAGTTATTTATTTATATACAAAGTGTAGGACAACGGTAATTAATAAGCATATATAATAAAGCTTCTATTATTATATAATTATTTTATATTTTAGATCTACGATAACTTCGTTTCCATAGAAAGATTCTCTTCAAACAACTTGTCAGTTGAATTCAAGTTCAAGGTGAGGTATAAGTGAAATGTACTTATATAGTTATAATCTTATCTCACTAATTATTAAGTTTACTATTTTAAGATAATTTGTTTCATGAAAAGATTCGGAATAAACAAAATGGGAATTTCCATTGGAGACTTCTTTTACGTTCGAAAAAATTTTGTGATTCGGGTAAGTCAGTGTATTATTGCTAATCTATTATGCAATAAACATTTGTTTTTGTTTACAGATGGCGAGTGCTTTATACTCAATTTTCCATTCTTTAGTGGAAGTAACTGGAGTGATGAAAAAACACAAATCATGTAATTTCACTTCTACATTTAATAATTCATCATTCAATAGTAGTAAATCTGTCTTTTAATAGTATTCAATCGTACACTTTTGTCCAAATGTTTAAGAAGAGTAAATGAATTAAATAATTAATTATATACAGTAGACCCCTCTATAACACTGTAGATAATTCAGTTTTATATGAATTCCATGTTGTACGGGTCACTTAGATTTCACAAATGCGTGTGCCGGGCTGTAAACGGTTCATGTATTTGTAAAATCTAAGTCACTCGTAAAACATGGAATTCATATAACACGGAACAATCTAGTGTTATAGGGAGTCTACTGTAATGTAATAAATATTTGATTAAACAGAATTATATTTTTTCAAATAAGATAAAAAACTTAGAATATATAAACATTTCGAATTGTGTAAATATATTCTACAATATATTACTAGAAAATTTATGTTTATAATAGTCTTTTATAATGCTAAATGGTTTTAATCGTATTATTATTAATAACTGAAATCATTAATTAAAGATATTATTTTCAAAGTGACGTAACTTCAGAAAATACAAATTTAAATAATTGCTTTAAATATTATTTGTTCATATGACTGCATATAATAAAAAAAGGGTGTTTAAAAAACTACACTAATAGCAAAAGAAAGAAAAAAGACTTAATGATTACATAACATTAAAAAGAATCATATTGTGATTGTTCTGTCACAGTACCTATTTCGAATCAATCACTTTCTAACCAAAAAAAAAAAAAAACACTTTTTCTGTAAAATTTCATTGTAGTATGCTTATCACTTATTCCCAGTTTATTTAAAAACTTTCTCACATCAGCTATCTTTTCCGGCTTAATTTAATTAAGTTTATTTCCTTATGGTAACGAATCAAGTAATAGACATGACCATTTTTTTTTTACTTCTTTTTAACATTGTATGTTTGCACATCTCCGATGTATCACAATACTGCTGTTTGCAACAAACACGTTTAGAGTTTATTCTGATTACAAGTAACCCCCGTATAACACGGGAGTTACGTTCCAAGAATTGCCGTGTTATGCGAATCCGTGTTATACGAAACAAAGAACTAGTGCGAAAAGGGGGGTTAGGTTCCAAAAATTAAAAACCATACTGTTAAATCCTTATTTATATCGGATTTATTATTCATTTTTTACATAGGTTCATAGTTTTTTTCATAGGTTTTTTATACTTATTTATTATTTAAGTAAATATTTTACCAGAGGATTATTCATCCTATATGATGATCTGAGCATGAACATCATCAACTGGTAACAGTTTTTGGGTGCGTTCGTTAATAGCAGTTGCTCTACAACGGGAGTGCGCTGCTGTTTGTAGGCATTTATAAACAACGGTGAAAGAAAGATGGCAGCGCCCGTACTATTGATAGTACCGTGATGGAGGAATCTATAAATCTAAAATGAGCTTTTAGAGGCAAACGAAGGGTTCCAATTGTAAAATTTAACCATTAAATGGATTATTGTTGAAAGAGCATTCAAAGCAGCCACGAAAACAATTAGAATGCTCGCGCATAGTTACGCAGAAGTATAAAAGAACGCACCCTTTATTACATTTCATGTTGTACGAGGGTTTTACCCTATTCCCGAACCGTATTAGAGTGAACCCGTGTTATAAAACCACCGTGTTATACGGGGGGTGTTCCCAATTCTCTAACTGTGTTAGAGTGAATCCGTGCTATAGAGGTGCCGTGTTATACGGGGGTTACCTGTACTTTCATTTTAGATACTTTAAAATCCGTTTTTCACGTAATGTGTAAACGAATTGCAAGTTTCCAAATACCAAGTTGCCATTTTTTTACCAACAATATGTATTTGTCCTATATGCTAAAAAATTTTATTGTAGTCTTCTGTTAAAAGAAACAGTACAGTTTTCGTAGAATTTTTCCACCCTTCCAAAGACGCTATGTATGGGTAAATAAATGTGACCCCGCATCCGATATGTAATCACAAAAATTAAACTATATATAATGAAAATTTACCTAGCATTACTAATAATGTGTGATTCTTGTTCTGGAAACTGCATTCATCACAAAACAAATGAATTTTCTTCACTTTTGGATTTACCTTACAAAAACTTTTACAAAAAAAAGCATGCGACCTAATTCAAGCGTGTCGACTAAATACTTTTTTAACTTCTTCAGATAACTTATATTTAATAATGGCCACATTAAGAAGACAATCAAACACAATAGCGCTTGTGCTTCATAAACCAGTCATTACAGTGAAATAGCCACGTGACCAAAATGCACTTTTTATTGTCTTTATGAACGGGTGACAGTTTAGAAATAAATAGAAAAGGAAAAACATCAAATTTTATAAAAAAGCAATATTTGATACCTGTTTCGGAAATGTAGTACTGTAGAGAAGAATATAATCAATGTGTTGGAGCCATAAAGTAGAAAGAAGGAAACAAAAATGGAGATACGTCACTTAGAAAATAAGCTTTTGAATTGCGTTTAAACATAGTTCTTTGCTTACTCGTGTATTAAATTTTACTGTGCATAGTTAATATCACTTAAGTATTTTGAAATTACAAGTAAATTATTTATGCGTTATTTAAGTGAAATTCTCACTTTAGTGAAGGCCCACCAGTGGCCAAGCTGTTTTCGTTCTCTAAACACTGGTAGTTCGGTCGTGAGTTCGCGCCTCGCTCGGACAGGCTGGCTACGTGGAGTTTTCCGGGTTTTCTCCGCATCTGTATCACCTAAATAGGGGCCAGTTTCCCTTAAAAAGACCTCCCGGAAGGCATTCCCCTTCGCAAATTGCTGAATTTTTGCGTTTCATAACTTAACGAACAAACACTTTAGTAAACCTTAAATTACACACTTTTAAAAAATATAGTCAAACATTAAAATCTTATCTTACTATCGTCACTTTTATGATACTATCAAATGTATTTTTATATTTAATATATATATATATATATTTATATATCTGGTACAATACACTGCGTTATTGTACCAGAGACAGATTTGTATAGGAAATAATAGGGCTTAAACTCTAAGCCCCCAAGTGTCGAAGGCCCACAAAAATTAAATTATTATCATAAATTTTTGATAGCTTTTCATTAACAATGAGCACTTATCGTATAGTATAAATAGTTAATACTGTATTAAAAATGTATTTTATTAATTTAGTTGATATTAATAAATTTCGATAAAATGATTGTGTATTCTGCTTAGTGAAAATAACACTTTCTGTCAAATTACTCACTTTGATTTTTGAATATGTTTGTTTGTATAATATAGTGAATTATTTGAATAATATTATTATTTATAAAGTTTTAAAACATACTAAATTTGTTTGTAAAATTTGTAAGATTAAAAAATCGTAAACCTATTTTTTCCTACTGTGTGTATTAGATAAAAAAGTGTCACTTCGAAAAATTAATTAGAATAATTTCTCTTTCTAATCAGAAAATGTCAAACAATAGTTCGATTAACCTTATTGTGACATCATCACTTAGATTGTTTCACAATAACGAAAACACCCTCGAAAAAATAGAGTAGAATAAGAATAAATTAAATTCTCTATTGTCAATAAAGTATGTCATCGTCTTTATAATATAAATTAATATTTTATTACACATATTATATGACTGTATGCAAGTAAAATATTTGTATTTTTATGAATAATTTGTTAATATTTTAACTTGTGTCATTTGTAGTGTATAATTATTTGTAGGTATAGTATCGACAGTTGAATTGAAGATATGTACAGTACAGTATGTAGTTTATTTGTTATGATGTTACTAATAAAATAAAATAAACGAATGTGCATATTTTGTATTGTACAAAGTTAAACGTAGCAGTATTTGCAGGATTTATTCACTTTTATAACCAGTTACAATTATTATTTCATTACTAAATTCGGTTTTTTTAGAATGAGGCCTACTTGGAACAATGTTGGCTTTCAAAGGAGAAAAGGTTTTTCTACCGCTGCATCAGGAAAAAAGAAGAAAAAACATTTTTTTAAGCAAAAACGTGACTGAAATTTTACTGCCATGAATTATATGTAATCTCAACATGTTGAACAATAATTAAATTTCCAGAATATTAACAATCAATAACAATCAATCATTAGAATGCACCCACCATAACGAACAGAACAAAGCATATACATTTGGTGGTTCAATGGTTACGTATAAAATTATAATACACATATTTTATTCCAATGTCATACTTTTATCATTATTGTATTTGTTCTACATCTCTTCCTTTCTTTTAACAAGTTACTATCACTACATAAAATATAAAGTACTGAAAAGCATTACTAAAAGCTAATTCTGATATACAGTTTACTATAGAAACATTACTTGTTTTATTTTCATAAAATATCGAGATATTTTGTAAAAAAACACCCCGAATCTACAGACGAACTAACATTAGTATATTTTAGCAATAATTTAAGACAAAGTCTACGATCAAATGTAATGAAGACAATACTTATCAGAGTTTACGTTGTGAATTTATAATTTGGTATTTGGGGAACACAACAATAAAACATAGTATAGACTTTGAAAAGTCATAGCTAGTTGATCGTCGAAAAGAAAAGGTGTAAAATATAAGATGCTTCAAACTAGTTTACATTTTAATTTAAATCGAAAAATAAATTATATTTTAATGAGAAAGTTTTAAAAATACCAATGTAAATAAATGATCTGATTTTAAATATATTTTGTCCAACTCAAATTAATACTT